TGTCCGTAGCGGTCGTAATATTCCTTACAATCTCCTAAGCCTTTGAAAGATGCTGGGTAACAATGTTTCATATCTAGCGACACGTATTCTTCCTCGTCGTACTCAATATTCCAAAGACCGCCATGACCATGTTCTACGCAGGCTTTGGCTATGTCTTTGAATTCTTTTGGGGTGGGTCTCCAACCATTTCTCTTTTTTGCGGCCTGAAAGTCTAAGCTGCGGCTGCTTAAGACGTCTTCTGAGAAGTCTTCGCCTAATGTTTCGCAGGCACTTAGTATCCTTTGCTGTTCTATCTTTGGTCTGTACAACGTGCCGTCTTGCGTCATAAACTGACTGCCTTCTGGGTCCATTAGCCAAATAGAGTTCTCATGCACCAAGTCCATTAGAGGACAGGTATCGTAGACCTTTGTTTCTTTCTTCTTTGGGAATCTTAGCTCCCGCCAGGCATGCCCGTTGTGTTGGTAGATAACTATGGGAGCACCACGACCACCATACTTATGCGTCCCGGAGTAAATGAACCCGTCTGTTATATCTTTCACGTGTATGCGCCTCTCTAAGGCAATTTCTAATTTCTTGATGTTGTCTATTGTAGCTCCGGCCCTGCGAGTAGCATCTTCCCATTTCCTGATGGCTTCTCTTCTTTTCAACGTAAGCCTACCACCACGGGAAGAATCCTCAAAGAATTCTCTTACTAACTTGCCGACGCAGTTGCCGGGGTGTCGCATTGGCTTGAGCTTTTTAACGTCTGGCTTTTTGATCTCATAAGCAGCATAAATAACTACAGTGACTGGATAGGCAACTTCGTAGAACAACATGTCGATGCCTACCAATGCTCCAGGCCTGGTATTCTTGTTTAGGACGAACAAGCTTTGCTTACCAGACGCCCGAATAGGGTTGCGACCTCTTTCTATTATCCATTCGCCACCGTAATACTTTATAAACGTTAACTGTAAACGGTAATCACCTTCAGGCATCAAATCTATTATCCTTCCTGCCCTTTCTTCATCCATAGTTTAATCCGTATCTCCTTCCATAAACGTCGTGAAGGCGAAATCACTATCCAAACGATCCAATACCTGGGTTCGCAACTTACGCACGGTTTTGTTTTGAATGCTCGCGATGGCGTCCATCTATATATAGGAAATATTTTAACCTTCGTTTGTGACACTATTCTTAGTACTGCACCGATAAAACCCGTAGACAAATAGCGACCTTACGGGTAATACCCGCTGCGGACGCATGCCTACTTGGCGCGGGAAAAACCCACGTAATTCCAGGAGTCAACCGCGATTCCCCCTTACTGCTGCTCAACCAATCAGATCAAAGAATAAAGTATCTGAATCAACTCCACTGACATCTGATTGGCGTATCGAACTTATCAACCAATCAAAATTAACGTTCGGATTCTGAACGTTCGTAGRAAAAATCGAGGGGGTTCATTGCAGGTCCTACCGTTCCTCCCTTCCTCTCCCCAGTCCCCCTCCCCTTCCTCTCCCCAGTTCCACCTCCCCTCCTTCCCCAGTCCCCAATCCTCTTCCCTTTGGGCCGCTATGCAGGCTATGTATCCTATTGAAAAAAGGATATTTCCTAACATTTTTCTTAGCATGTTCTCAAAAAATTGTCAATTTCACTCCTATCCCACTAGGCATTGTAACAACTTTAGACCAAATTTTTGTAGTTCAAATATCAAACAATTCACAGTTGCTAGTCAGGGAGCAAATGTTTGGAACACTCTGCCCTATCAAGTGAAATCAGCACCCTCATTATCATCGTTTAAAACTAAACTAAAACAACATCTGATTAGCTTGCAGTCTTGAGTCTTGTAATTAATTTATACAATATTTAAATTTTACTCCAAAAAATTTGATTAACTCTCTAACTCTTGCAATAAAACTAAAAAACTGCCTTAATAATGATAATTTAACATATATATATCAAAACTATAACTATCATAATTACTATTTTTAATATATGCTCTCTATACACCCTTTTATAATGGCTGACGAGCGCACAAAAACGAGGTCACCCAGTCATCTTGCAGGGCTGAGCAAGGCTGCTCATTGAGCCAGTAAAGGTGGATAGCGCGAATACAGGTCAAAACAAGAGTTAAATTTCTCTACTTTTCTCTTACAAAACTCATGTAATGTACTTTTAAATCTTGTATTGTGAACTAATGACTGGGTGACATCGTTTTTGTGCCCTTTTCAGCCATTATGGGAACGGTGTATAATAACTACTTAATCTATACATTCTTGCAATTTAATTTATATGATTATCGTTAGTTTATATCAAAATCTGTCTAAGTATATTTGCCTTTGTGCTTCTTTGTTCATTGCAATTACCATAATGTACATTAATTTTACTTTAGCTATACATAGGCAGCCCAAAAATATAAGCCTTTGGTTTCTCTTTTGAGCTGGCTACTATCCTTGAGAAAGATATTTTACACGAAATTCATATCCATTGTATTATAGATATTTTGTAATTATCTTTTATATTCCTCTTTATACTCAATTTTCTCAATATGTAATTTAGTGATCTGTTCTGCCTCTCGATTTCGCCGTTTGACTGTGGCCACAAGGGTGTGACTCTTCGATGCTTGATGCCATTATCCAATAAATACTGCTCGAATGCCTCTGATACGAATTGTGGCCCATTGTCGCTTGATATTGATTGGGGTAGGCCATGACTGGAGAAGATCTCCT